GTCTGTCGGGAAGACAGCGTCCTCAGGTGAAGAACAGGTCTGTCGGGAAGACAGCGTCCTCAGGTGAAGAACAGGTCTGTCGGGAAGACAGCGTCCTCAGGTGAAGAACAGGTCTGTCGGGAAGACAGCGTCCTCAGGTGAAGAACAGGTCTGTCGGGAAGACAGCGTCCTCAGGTGAAGAACAGGTCTGTCGGGAAGACAGCGTCCTCAGGTGAAGAACAGGTCTGTCGGGAAGACAGCGTCCTCAGGTGAAGAACAGGTCTGTCGGGAAGACAGCGTCCTCAGGTGAAGAACAGGTCTGTCGGAAAGACAGCGTCCTCAGGTGAAGAACAGGTCTGTCGGGAAGACAGCGTCCTCAGGTGAAGAACAGGTCTGTCGGGAAGACAGCGTCCTCAGGTGAAGAACAGGTCTGTCGGGAAGACAGCGTCCTCAGGTGAAGAACAGGTCTGTCGGGAAGACAGCGTCTGAATGAAACACCACCAGGCTTGGCAGCGTATACTTAAGCTGGGTTGGAGGGGGAAGAGCGCCTTGACAAAATAATTTGCATATCAAGAGGAATTTAGCATATTTATGGTGCAATGCACACCGCCCACCAGGGATTATTTGTCCGTCTGTCTGTCGGACGGTCTCGTCACCACGTGACGCGCCGTCCTACCGAGCTCCCGCCCGCCCGTTCCGAAGGAACGTGTTTCTGTTCTGACTGTCGCAACCTCTTGGGGGCGGGGGGGGGCCCCCCTTCCTTCTCTCCGTCTCCGCGCCGCGCAGAGCGCTCCTCCCACCGGCCCGTCCTGCAGCCCGGCCTGCCGGCCAACCGCACAGCGGCGCCGGGCGGCGACGCCGAGTTCCGCTGCAAGGTGCACGGAGAGGCGCGGCCGCACGTCCAGTGGCTGCGTCACGTCGAGGTCAACGGCAGCCGCCACGGGCCCGACGGCTCGCCCTACGTGCGGGTACTCAAGGTACGGGGGGCGGGGGGGGGCGGGGCCTCTGGTTGTGTCGATGGGGCAGTCGAGCCAGTCGGACGCGCCGTTCCCCAACGGGAAATTGGGATTTGTTTTTTAAATCCTTTATATTAAGTTCGCTCGCTTGCTTGCTTGCTTGCTTGCGCGCTTACGACCGTGCAAATCTTTCGGTCGTTTTTTAACCCACTTCCCGTGATCCAATCGAGCTGACATTTTGCACACAGACTCGTTGTGCGAGACAATTAATGTTCGTGAAAAAATTTTCCCAAAATTTTACACTTTTTAGGAAAAAATTAATTATATTTAATTACCAATTGCTTAATGGTGGCAGGCAATCATCTGACCCATAGGCGGCAGCCATCTCAAGCCAGAGGACGAGAGGACTCTAGCCGCCACGCATATAAAGGATTTATGGTTAAAAACTTTGTTTTTATGGGTTAATTTTTTTTAAATGTTGAAATGGAACGTGTACAGTGAGGAAAACAAGTATTTGATCCCCTGCTGATTTTGTACGTTTGCCCGCTGACAAAGAAATGATCAGTCTGTAATTTTAACGCTAGGTTTATTTGAACAGTGAGAGACAGAATAACAACACAAAAATCCCGAAAAGCGCATGTCAAAAATGTTATAAATTGATTTGCATTTTAATGAGGGAAATAAGTATTTGACCCCCTCTCAATCAGAAAGATTTCTGGCTCCCAGGTGTCTTTTATACAGGCAACGAGCTGAGATTAGGAGCACACTCTTAAAGGGAGTGCTCCTAATCTCAGCTTGTTACAGTGAGGGAAAAAAGTATTTGATCCCCTGTTGATTTTGTACGTTTGCCCGCTGACAAAGCAATGATCTGTAGATGTGTTGGTTGCGTTTACCCCCCTCTCTGTGTCTCTCTCTCTCCCCGTTCACCCCCAGTCCCCTGTCTTCCACCCGGCCTTCCCTCCCTTGTGCAGGGTGATGGCACCGCGGTAGAAACCCCGTACGCCAGCGGTCGGGAACCTATGGCTCGCGAGCCATGTATGGCTCTTCTGGTGACGGCATATGGCTCCCAGACAATTTTGAGTTGAAAAAAAAAAAATCAGTTTGGAACTGATTTTTTAAAATACTTGTGATATTGCTTAATAATACCGTGTCATTTTAAAGTGAACAGAAATTAGTTTTGAAGATAAAATTTCTTCGGTCACGGATCCCGTGACCAGAAGTCGCATTAAAAGTAAGACACATTTAATTTATTAGACGTTAAAAATTACACTATATGGCTCTCAATGAAATATATTTAGAAATATTTGGCTTTTATGGCTCTCCCAGTCAAAAAGGTTCCCGACTGCTGCCGTACTCTGTGGGGATTTCAACGGAGTTTATTGTTTTCTTCTAGATTTGAAGCTTTCGTGACTGCAAGGATTCGTATTCTTAGGTTTTTTCGGTAAAGTCACCGTGTAGGTAAAACATTGAAATTAATAAAATTAAATTAAAATAAAAATCACGACGTTTCGGAGGCAACACAAGTCTCCGTCTTCAGGTGGAACCGTCACAGCCACGACAGCCGTATCAAGTAGATGAGAGATTACAAGAGCTACCACTCTTTTTATTAAACCAACCATTATATATACGGAGTGGTAGCTCTTGCAATCTCTCATTTGCTTGATGCGGCTGTCGTGGCTGTGACGGTTCCACCTGAAGATGGAAGCTTGTGTTGCCTCCGAAACGTCGTGATTTTTATTTTATTTTATTTTATTAATTTCAATGTTTTACCTACACGGTGACTTTACCGAAAAAACCTAAGAATACGAATCGTTCAATCTTAATTTTGGAGCTTTCGTGACTGCACGAATTATTCTTTGTTTCTTTCGGTGAAGTCGCGTCTAAAGATAAAATAATAAATTAAAATAATAGCATATTACGCGTGTCGATTGCAACACAGGCAATCATCGTCAGGCATAAAAGAAATAGCAACAAAAATCTAACTAGAAAACTATAGACAGTTAGATTTTTGTTGCTATTTCTTTTATGCCTGAATGACGATTGCTTGTGTTGCAATCGAGACGTCGTAATATGCTATTATTTTAATTTATTACTTTATCTTTAGACGCGACTTCACCGAAAGAAACAAAGAATAATTCCTGCAGTCACGAAAGCTACAAAATTAAGAATGCTTCACCAATGTGAAGATGTCACAGACAATCACTCTGGGCGTTTCATTTAAAATTAGATTAAAAAAAATAATAATACTGCGCTTGGAGGATGCGGGAATCGAACTAATGTACTTGTGGAGTCCCTAAGCTGGTAGAGCGCTTGCCTCGCCAACTTAGCTACTCACCAAGGACGTGAGCGCCGTCTCCTCGAGTTCTAATAATAAAGTCGCGTAGAAGAGAAATCATAAAATAATACAAATAAAACATAATAAAATAATCTTCTTGGTTCTTTCGGTAAAGTCATCACGTAGAAGAGAAATCATAAAATAATACAAATAAAACATAATAAAATAATCTTCTTGGTTCTTTCGGTAAAGTCACCACGTAGAAGAGAAATCATAAAATAATAAAAATAAAACATAATAAAATAATCTTCTTGGTTCTTTCGGTAAAGTCATCACGTAGAAGGGAAGTAATAAAATAATAAAATAAAACATAATAAAATAATCTTCTTGGTTCTTTCGGTAAAGTCACCACGTAGAAGGGAAGAAATAAAATAATAAAATAAAACATAATAAAATAATCTTCTTGGTTCTTTCGGTAAAGTCATCACGTAGAAGGGAAATAATAAAATAATAAAATAAAACATAATACAATAATCTTCTTGGTTCTTTCGGTAAAGTCATCACGTAGAAGGGAAATAATAAAATAATAAAATAAAACATAATAAAATAATTCTCACGACGTTTCGGCCACAACGCAAGCAGCCGTCCTCATGTGAAGAATGAAACAGCACCAAGCTCTCCAACCCAGCAGCTTAAATATAAGCTCCAAGCTTGGCAGTGTTTCATTCTTCACCTGAGGACGGCTGCTTGCGTTGTGGCCGAATCGTCGTGAGAATTTTGTATTTTTATGTATTTATTTTATTTTTATTTTATTCTGTTTTATTTTTATTATTTTATTTCTTCCCTTCTACGTGATGACTTCACCGAAAGAACCAAGAATATGAATCCTTGTTTTGTGTCTCTCTCCCTCCCCGTTGTTTTTTTTTCTTTAGACGTCCGGAGACAATAGCACAGACGAGGAGATGGAGGTCCTCTACTTACGGAATGTCACGTTTGACGACGCCGGGGAATACACTTGCCTGGCGGGCAACTCCATCGGGACCTCTCACCAATCTGCATGGCTCGTTGTCATCGCAGGTACACGCGGACAAACTGCAGGAGGAAAGGTAAAAAGTTTAAATTAATAAAAATAAAATAAAATAAAAATCACGACGTTTCGGAGGCAACACAAGACTCCGACTGCTGCATCAAGTGAAACGTCGTGATTTTTATTTAATTTTTATTAATTTAATTTTTTTACCTACGTGACTTTACCGAAAAAAACCTAAGAATATGAATCCTTGCATTCCTACGAAAGCTTCAAATCTAGAACACGACTCTGATCATGTATGCACTGTCCTTGAAGTTGAGCTCTCATACTCTGATGGTGCATTGTCTTTGAGTTGTGCGCCTTTTGGCGTCATCTGGTCCAACTCCATGTGAGACTAGGCTCTAAGGAAAGCTGTCTCGGGTGTGGACCAATCAACTTCAAGGACCATGTGAGACTAGGCTCTAAGGAAAGCTGTCTCGGGTGTGGACCAATCAACTTCAAGGACCATGTGAGACTAGGCTCTAAGGAAAGCTGTCTCGGGTGTGGACCAATCAACTTCAAGGACCATGTGAGACTAGGCTCTAAGGAAAGCTGTCTCGGGTGTGGACCAATCAACTTCAAGGACCATGTGAGACTAGGCTCTAAGGAAAGCTGTCTCGGGTGTGGACCAATCAACTTCAAGGACCATGTGAGACTAGGCTCTAAGGAAAGCTGTCTCGGGTGTGGACCAATCAACTTCAAGGACCATGTGAGACTAGGCTCTAAGGAAAGCTGTCTCGGGCGTGGACCAATCAACTTCAAGGACCATGTGAGACTAGGCTCTAAGGAAAGCTGTCTCGGGTGTGGACCAATCAACTTCAAGGACAGTGCACACATTATCAGAGTTCTGTTTTTTGTTTGCATTACGACCGCAGGTATCGTGGTCAATGCAAACATGACTCCTCGTAAAAAAGGTGTCAGTTTTGTTACCAGGTAAGAGGGTAAAAACCAATAATCAAGTAACTGTAGGGCAAGCCAGCGTTGCCAAGTGAGTGAATAACATCGTCGGTTAACTTAACGTTCCACCACTCGCCCTCTTCGCACGATTTCCTCGCAAAGGGCAATTGTCGCGACCGCTTATTTTGACGGCCGCAGGTCACGCGGTCGCTGACCTCGCTCCACCGTGACCCCCGACCCCTCTCCCGACAGCGGAGAGGCCGGAGTCGAAGGCTGCCCTCGCCGCCCCGGACTTCCTGCAGATCGGCGTCTACTGCACGGCCGGCTTACTCGCCACCACGGCCGCCGTGGCCGCGAGTTGCCGCGTGCGGAACGCGCCGGAGCAGACGCCGCCAGTCGGCAACGAGCCCCGACTCTGTCGCCTCTCCAGAGACATCGTCCTGCAGAGACAGGTGGGGGGGGGTGGGGGTGGGGTGGGGGGGGTGGGGGTGGTGGTGGGGGTGGTGGGGTGGGGGGGGGTGGTGGTGGGGGGGGTGGGGGTGGTAGGGGTGGTGGTGGTGGGGGTGGTGGTGGGGGTGGGGGTGGGGGTGGTGGTGGTGGTGGGGGTGGTGGGGGTGGTGGTGGTGGTGGGGGTGGTGGGGGTGGTGGTGGTGGGGGTGGTGGTGGTGGTGATGGTGGCAGTGGTGCCGCTACCAGTCGCACAATGTTTGTGTGAGTGTCTGTGTGTGTGTTGTGTGTGTCTGTGTGCCAGTGTGTGTCTGTTTGTGTGTCTGTGTGTGTGTCTGTGTGTGTGTGTGTGTCTGTGTGTGTGTCTGTGTGTGTGTCTCTGTGTGTGTCTGTGTGTGTGTCTGTGTGTGTGTCTGTGTGTGTGAGTGTCTCTGTGTGTGAGTGTCTCTGTGTGTGTGTCTCTGTGTGTCTGTATGTGTCTCTGTGTGTGTCTCTGTGTGTGTGTGTCTGTGTGTGTGTCTGTGTGTGTGTCTGTGTGTGTGTCTGTGTGTGTCTGTGTGTGTGTCTGTGTGTGTCTCTGTGTCTCTGTGTGTGTATGTGTCTGTGTGTGTCTCTGCCGTGTTAACCGCTTGTGGGGCTCCCGCCGTCCCCCAGGTATCGCTGGAGTCTGCCGACTCAGCCAACTCGAGGCTGCCGCTGCTGCTGCTGCCGGCACCGCCACCAGGTAGAGGAGGAGGCGGCGGTGGCGGCGGTGGTGGCGGTGGCAGCGGTCGCCGCTTCTCGTCGGCGGACTCCCCGAGGCTGCCCGGCGTCTGCGAGAGCGAGCTGCCCCCAGATGCACGCTGGGAGTTCCCGCGGGGACGGTTCGTCGCCACCGCTCCCGTCGCGACCGTTCCCTCCTCCTCCTGCTGCTGCTCCTCCTGCTGCTGCTGCTGCTGCTGCTGCTGCTGCTCCTGCTGCTGCTGCTCCTGCTGCTGCTGCTGCTCTGCTGCTGCTGCTGCTGCTCCTGCTGCTGCTGCTGCTACTGCTGCTGCTGCTGCTGCTCCTCCTGCTGCTGCTCCTGCTGCTGCTGCTCCTGCTGCTGCTCCTGCTGCTCCTGCTGCTGCTCCTCCTGCTGCTGCTGCTGCTGCTGCTGCTCCTGCTGCTGCTCCTGCTGCTGCTGCTGCTGCTCCTGCTGCTGCTGCTCCTGCTGCTGCTCTGCTGCTGCTCCTGCTGCTGCTGCTCCTGCTGCTGCTGTCGCTGCTGCTGCTGCTGCTGCTGCTCCTGCTCCTGCTGCTGCTCCTGCTGCTGCTCCTGCTGCTGCTGCTGCTGCTGCTCCTGCTCCTGCTGCTGCTCCTGCTCCTGCTCCTGCTGCTGCTCCTGCTGCTGCTGCTCCTGCTGCTGCTCCTGCTGCTGCTCCTGCTGCTGCTGCTGCTGCTGCTCCTGCTGCTGCTGTCGCTGCTGCTGCTGCTGCTGCTGCTGCTCCTGCTCCTGCTGCTGCTGCTGCTGCTGCTGCTGCTGCTCCTGCTGCTGCTGCTGTCGCTGCTCCTGCTGCTGCTGCTGTCGCTGCGCTCTCTTGTCACGCGGCGACGGAGCGAGCGGACGCGGCGTTTGACGATTTGTACCCCGAGCTCGAGGCGGGGCCTAGCCGATGCACGGACGTGATTGATGTACGAATCATAGTTGGGGGGGGCGGGGGGGGGGAGATTCCACCGTCGTGTTGACCTCGTGTTGACCTCGTGTTGACCTCGTGTTGACCTCGTGTTGATGTCGTGTTGACGGCGTGTTGACCTCGTGTTGACCTCGTGTTGACCTCGTGTTGACCTCGTGTGACCGCCGTGTTGATCGTGTTGATGTCGTGTTGATGTCGTGTTGACCTCGTGTTGATGTCGTGTTGACCTCGTGTTGACCTCGTGTGACCGTCATGTTGACCTCGTGTTGACGGTTGGTTGACCTCGTGTTGACCTCGTGTTGACCTCGTGTGACCGTCATGTTGACCGCCGTGTTGACCTCGTGTTGACCTCGTGTTGACCTCGTGTTGACCTCGTGTGACCTCGTCTTGACCTCGTGTGCGCCCCCCGCAGGCTCAGGCTGGGTGCGCCGCTGGGCGAGGGCTGCTTTGGCCGCGTGGTGACGGCCGAGGCGCTGGGCATCGACCAGGAGCAGCCCGGCCGCTCCGTCCGCGTCGCCGTCAAGATGCTGAAGGGTGAGTCGCTGGCGCTACGAGCTACGGGCTACGGGCACGCCGCTAGCGCTACGGGCTACGGGCATGCCGCTAGCGCTACGAGCTACGGGCATGCCGCTAGCGCTACGGGCACCATCCTAGCGCTATGCCGCTAGCGCTACGGGCTACGGGCATGCCGCTAGCGCTACGGGCTACGGGCATGCCGCTAGCGCTACGAGCACGCCGCTAGCGCTACAGGCACGCCGCTAGCGCTACGGGCTACGGGCATGCCGCTAGCGCTACGGGCATGCCGCTAGCGCTACGGGCACCATCCTAGCGCTATGCCGCTAGCGCTACGGGCTACGGGCATGCCGCTAGCGCTACGGGCTACGGGCATGCCGCTAGCGCTACGAGCACGCCGCTAGCGCTACAGGCACGCCGCTAGCGCTACGGGCTACGGGCATGCCGCTAGCGCTACGGGCATGCCGCTAGCGCTACGGGCTACGGGCATGCCGCTAGCGCTACGGGCATGCCGCTAGCGCTACGGCCATGCCGCTAGCGCTACGCGCACGCTGCCGCTAGCGCTATGGGCTACGGGCATGCCGCTAGCGCTACGGGCACCATCCTAGCGCTACGCCGCTAGCGCTACGAGCACGCCACGCTGGTGCTACGGGCACGCCGCTAGCGCTACGCACATCGCTAGCGCTACGGAGGCAACACAAGCTTCCGTCTTCTTGGTTCTTTCGGTAAAGTCATCACGTAAAATGGAAATAATGAAATAACAAAAATAAAACATAATAAAATAATTCTCACGACGTTTCGGCCACAACGCAAGCAGCCGTCCTCAGGTGGAGACCAGGTCTGTCGGAAAGACAGCGTCTTGTGGCCGAAACGTCGTGAGAATTCTATTGTATTAAATTTGTATTATTTTATTATGTCCTTTCTACGTGACTTTACCGAAAGAACCAAGAAGACGAGTCCTTGTGTGTGTATGTACACACTGGTTGAGGGTGCGAGGAGCCAAGGTATTCCCTGGATATTATTGTTGTGAGGTGCGGTGCTCCCGCAGCGACGTGTCGTCGTCGTCATCGTCGCCCGAGCCGCTCGCCCCGAGGCCACGGAGACGCGGACGCATTCGCCCCGTTTGTGCGATCTCTCCCCTTCGCTCGCGCTCAGACAATGCTACGGACAAGGAGCTGTCCGACCTGGTGTCGGAGCTGGAGCTGATGAAGAGCGTGGCGAAGCACAGGAACATCATCGGTCTGCTGGGGGCGTGCACGCAAGGCGGTGAGTTGTCAAGTTCACGTTCATCTAGTAGGTGGGGAGCCCCGTGGGACATTCGGCTCTTGAATCGGGTGCAACCGCAACAAACAAAAAAACTAAAACACGAACAAAAAACATCTTAAAGTGAACATGTGACTGAGTGCAAACAGAAAATCCAAGCAAAATATTGCAGAAAAAGCACCGTACACCAACGCTGTGTGCAAACATCCCAGTGGGATGCAAGAAAAAAGTGGAAAACCCCTATGAGTATATGTTGGTACTGGCAAAGGAGGTCCCATGATGTAGCTGCTCTACCCCGAGCTCTCGTTACTCTGGTAGTTGCGTTGTCTTTGAACTGTGTAACGCCTTTTGGCGTCATCTGGTCGAACACCGTATGAGACTAGGCTCTAAAGAAAGCTGTCTCTGGTGTGGACCAATCAGTTTCAAAGACAACGCATAAACTATCAGAGTATTGTTTTTTGTTTGCATTTGACTGCAAGCATTGTGGTTAATGTACGCGTGATTCATTGCAAAAGGTGTCAGTTTTGTTGCCAGAAAAAGGGGAAAACCCCTATGAGTATATGTTGGTACTGGCAAAGGAGGTCCCATGATGTAGCTGTTCTTCACCTGAGGACGCTGTCTTTCCCACAGACCTGTTCTTCGCCTGAGGACGGCTGCTTGCGTTGTGGCCGAAACGTCGTGAGAATTGTATTTGATTATGTTTTATTTTTATTATTTTATTATTTCCCTTCTACGTGACTCAATGTTTTATTTTTATTTTTTTATTATTTCCCTTCTACGTGACTCAATGTTTTATTTTTATTATTTTATTATTTCCCTTCTACGTGACTCAATGTTTTATTTTTATTATTTTATTATTTCCCTTCTACGTGACTTAATGTTTATTTTTATTATTTTATTATTTCCCTTCCACGTGGCTTAATGTTTTATTTTTATTATTTTATTATTTCCCTTCTACGTGACTTAATGTTTTATTTTTATTATTTTATTATTTCCCTTCTACGTGACTCAATGTTTTATTTTTATTATTTTATTATTTCCCTTCTACGTGACTCAATGTTTTATTTTTATTATTTTATTATTTCCCTTCTACGTGACTTAATGTTTTATTTTTATTATTTTATTATTTCCCTTCTACGTGACTTAATGTTTTATTTTTTTATTTTATTATTTCCCTTCTACGTGACTTTACCGAAAGAACCAAGAAGATGCAATCGCGAAAGCAGCTTTAAATCGACATTTATTTGACAACCTCGGCATGAAGTCGTCTCAACACGGCTGTTCTGACGATTGCCATCCCAGCGCTGACCCGACCACCTCCATCGCCCCCCCCCCCCCCAGGTCCCCTGCTCGTCATCGTGGAGCTCGCCGCCAAAGGGAACCTGCGAGACTTCCTGCGCGCCCGCCGCCCGCCCGTCACGGAGTCGGCGTGCGACGGTGCCGGAGCGAGGGGCGAGCGACCCGCCGCCAGGGAGCTGGTGTCGTTCGCCCGTCAGGTGGCGCGCGGCATGGAGTGGCTCGCCTCCAACAAGGTGAGTCGCTCACTACCCGTCGCTACGATGACAACGACGACATCGACGTTCAAACAGAATTTTGAGCTTTTGTGACCGCAGGAATTGTCCTTTGGTTCTTTCGGTAAAGTCACGTGTGAAGATAAAGTAATAAATTAAATTAAATGCTGGCACACGGCGGTTCGATTGCAACACTAGCAATCATCAGGTATAAATGAAATAGAAACGCAAATCTAGTAGACTTAGACATGTAATGTAATACAACAGAGAGTCGGATAACATAACAGTCAACACCCTACCTGGTTGATTACGTTCTTTCTGAGAATGTAAATTTAGCATTCTCAGGACATCGACGTTGTTAATTGGTTTTTCACCCTTCTATCTGGCAACAAAACTGACACCTTTTTACAAGGAGTCATGTTTGCATAGACCACGGTGCTGGGAATCCGCTCTGTGGTGTAGAGTCTTGATGAGGGAGTTCTTCTGGGATGGACGGCGCTGGGAATCCGCTCTGTGGTGTAGAGTCTTGATGAGGGAGTTCTTCTGGGATGGACGGTGCTGGGAATCCGCTCTGTGGTGTAGAGTCTTGATGAGGGAGTTCTTCTGGGATGGACGGTGCTGGGAATCCGCTTTGTGGTGTAGAGTCTTGATGAGGGAGTTCTTCTGGGATGGACGGTGCTGGGAATCCGCTCTGTGGTGTAGAGTCTTGATGAGGGAATTCTTCTGGGACGGACGGCGCTGGGAATCCGCTCTGTGGTGTAGAGTCTTGATGAGGGAGTTCTTCTGGGATGGACGGTGCTGGGAATCCGCTCTGTGGTGTAGAGTCTTGATGAGGGAGTTCTTCTGGGATGGACGACGCTGGGAATCCGCTCTGTGGTGTAGAGTCTTGATGAGGGAGTTCTTCTGGGATGGACGGTGCTGGGAATCCGCTTTGTGGTGTAGAGTCTTGATGAGGGAGTTCTTCTGGGATGGACGGTGCTGGGAATCCGCTCTGTGGTGTAGAGTCTTGATGAGGGAATTCTTCTGGGACAGACGGCGCTGGGAATCCGCTCTGTGGTGTAGAGTCTTGATGAGGGAGTTCTTCTGGGATGGACGGTGCTGGGAATCCGCTCTGTGGTGTAGAGTCTTGATGAGGGAGTTCTTCTGGGATGGACGACGCTGGGAATCCGCTCTGTGGTGTAGAGTCTTGATGAGGGAGTTCTTCTGGGATGGACGGCGCTGGGAATCTGCTCTGTGGTGTAGAGTCTTGATGAGGGAGTTCTTCTGGGATGGACGGCGCTGGGAATCTGCTCTGTGGTGTAGAGTCTTGATGAGGGAGTTCTTCTGGGATGGACGGCGCTGGGAATCCGCTCTGTGGTGCAGAGTCTTGATGAGGGAATTCTTCTGGGATGGACGGTGGTGGGAATCCGCTCTGTGGTGTAGAGTCTTGATGAGGGAGTTCTTCTGGGATGGACGGCGCTGGGAATCTGCTCTGTGGTGTAGAGTCTTGATGAGGGAATTCTTCTGGGATGGACGGTGGGTATCCGGTGTGTGCGCCGCAGTGCATTCACCGGGACCTGGCGGCACGCAACGTGCTGGTGGCGGACGGCAACGTGATGAAGATCGCCGACTTTGGGCTCGCACGCGACGTCAACCACAGCGAGTACTACAAGAAGACTTCCAGCGTGAGTCGATCGCCCCCCCCCCCCCCCCCCCCCCCCACGTGTTCCGTGGCCTCGTGCCGCCTGGCAACGGGACGGGAGGCTGCGGGCGCAGCGAAGGGGGACGACGATGAGAAGGGGGACTGGACACGAGTTTGACTTTGGTGAACGTCGTTTGACTAAATGTTAAAGCGGGCGCACGACGAAACATCGGGTGGGTTTCACGCGGTCAGTTTAGCCGTCGGGCCGGCGTGCTAAACACGCGTCGTCAAAGATGTTTTTTACGAATTGAAATTGAGCGGCAAACCCGGTTGACCGCCGCGCACAAACTTAATCCGGGTTTATCTGCAAAGTAATTGTGGGTCGTTGACACCCGGTGACGATCTTGTTCCGCTCGTAAATTATTTCAGGTGGTTGAAGCGTCCACTTGTACGACAGCTGCGGCTCTAATTGCTTTTGAAAATGTGCTTTAATGACAATTCGAAATGTGATCACCATCACATGGGCTTGTCAGTTTGCCTTTACAGTAGCCGTAGTGATGCCCAGCTTTATAACCAAGTACATTTAATAAAAAAATTAAATTAAAGCTGTCAGTTTTGTTGCCAGATAAAAGGGTAAAAAAACTAAAATCATATTTTGCTCCTGGCAAAGGAGGTTCCAATGGTGTAAATGCTTCACCCCGAGCTCTCATACTCTGATGGTGCATTGTCTTTGAGTTGTGCGGCTTTTGGCGTCATCTGGTCCAACACCATGTGAGACTGGGCTCTAAGGAAAGCTGTCTCGGGTGTGGACCAATCAACTTCAAGGACAGTGCGTACATTATCAGAGTTGTGTGTTTTGTTTGCATTACGACCGCAGGTATCGTGGTCAATGCAAACATGACTCCTCGTAAAAAAAAGGTGTCACTTTTGTTGCCAGATAGGAGGGTAAAAACCAATAATCAAGTAACTGTAGGGCAAGCCAGCGTTGCCAAGTGAGTGAATAACATCGTCGGTTAACTTAACGTTCCACCACTCGCCCTCTTCGCACGATTTCCTCACAAAAGGCTTCGTGCAATTTTCGCGACCGGTTATTTTGACAGCCGCAGATCAAGCAGATGAGCTTACACCCTTTGTGTGCGGGCATTGGAGAGCGGGCCCCCCCCCCCCACCATGCCCCCCACCATGCCCCCCACCACGCCCCCCCCCACCATGCCCCCCACCATGCCCCCCACTATGCCCCCCACTATGCGTCTTTCTCGCCCTTCAGGGTCTCCTGCCGGTGAAGTGGATGTCACCGGAGTCCTTGTTTGACCGCGTCTACACACAGCGCAGCGACGTGTGAGTTACACACTTACACACTTACACAGTTACACACTTACACACTTACACAGTTACACACTTACACACTTACACACTTACACAGTTACACACTTACACACTTACACAGTTACACACTTACACAGTTACACAGTTACACAGTTACACAGTTACACAGTTACACAGTTACACACTTACACAGTTACACAGTTACACACTTACACAGTTACACACTTACACAGTTACACAGTTACACACTTACACAGTTACACAGTTACACACTTACACAGTTACACACTTACACACTTACACAGTTACACACTTACACAGTTACACACTTACACAGTTACCCAGTTACCCTCCCCAGGGGGGCGGGGGGTAACTGGGGTGGGGGGAGGTGTGGGAGTGTGTGTGTGAGTGTGTGTGAGTGTGTGTGTGAGTGTGTGTGTGAGTGTGTGTGAGTGTGTGTGTGTGAGTGTGTGTGAGTGTGTGTGAGTGTGTGTGTGAGTGTGTGTGTGAGTGTGTGAGTGTGTGAGTGTGTGAGTGAGTGTATGTATGAGTGTGTGTGTGTATGAGTGAGTGAGTGTGTGAGTGTGTGAGTGTGTGTGTGAGTGTGTGTGTGAGTGTGTATGAGTGTGTGTGTGAGTGAGTGTGTGTGTGTGAGTGAGTGTGTGTGTGAGTGTGTGTGTGTGAGTGTGTGTGTATGAGTGTGTGTGTGAGTGTGTGTGAGTGTATGAGTGAGTGAGTGTATGAGTGTGTGTATGAGTGTATGAGTGTGAGTGTATGAGTGTGAGTGTGTGAGTGTGTGAGTGTATGCATGAGTGTATGAGTGAGTGAGTGCGTGCTCCCCGCCGCGAGCAGCTGGTCGTTTGGGGTGCTGCTCTGGGAGATGTTCACGCTGGGGGGGGCGGTGTGGGTGTGTGAGTGTGTATGAGTGTGAGTGTATGAGTGTGAGTGTATGAGTGTGTGTATGAGTGAGTGTATGAGTGAGTGAGTGAGTGCGTGCTCCCCGCCGCGAGCAGCTGGTCGTTTGGGGTGCTGCTCTGGGAGATGTTCACGCTGGGGGGCTCCCCCTACCCGGGGGTCCCCGTGGAAGAGCTCTTCCGGCTCCTGCAGGAGGGACACCGCTTGGACCGGCCGCCCCTGTGCCCCGCTGAGCTGTGAGTAGCACCCCCCCCCCCCCGGTCACTCGGCGGCGGTGACTCGGGACGCGAGCGAAACCCGCCGCCGCCGCCGATGGAACGTGTCGTTCTCATTGCTATGAGACGTCTTCTTCGTTCTTTCGGTAAAGTCACGTAGAAGGACCGAGAAGATGAATCCCTGCGGTCACGAAAGCTTTAAATGGAAATTTTACGAGACGTCTCCTTTAGCGATGGCGAAATATAGTGATGGGTTTGTACCCTTGCGACTGGTACAAAAACTGACAGCTTTATACAAGGCGTCATGTTTGTAATAACCACAACACAAGCAGTCACAATGCAAACTAAAAGAAACAACTCTGATGATGATAATGATATGCACTGTCCTTGAAGTTGATTGGTCCACACCCGAGACAGCTTTCCTTAGAGCCTAGTCTCCACTGGTGTTGGATCAGATGACACCAAAAGGCGCACAACTCAAAAACAGCGCACTATCAGAGTATTGAGAGCTCGGGGTGAAGCATTTACACTATGAGACCTCCTTTACCAGTGGCAAAATATAGTGATAGGTTTTTACCCTTTCAACTATACAATGGAGACTAGGCTCTAAGAAGCTGTTTTGGGTGTGGACCAATCAACTTCAAGGACAGTGCATTTTCACTGCTTACTTTTGTAATTTTTAATTATATTTTTTACCTACGTGACTTTACCGAAACAAACCTAAGAGTATAGTTCTAAAGAAATGAGTTTTCAATCGAGATGATTTCAAAGTCCATAGCTCCGGTGGCTTCCTAACATCGGAAGGGAAGAGCGTTCCAGACGGCCGTGGAACTGCGTCCGATGGCGTCTTTGTTCGACGGCCAGCCGCCAGCGGCCGCTGCGAGGATGAGCGGAGTTTGCGTGACCCTCCTCGACGAGACCGCCAAGGTGTCGCAGTCCCTCCGTGGCGAGCGCTTTGTGCGCGTGCGATGAGCGTGACCAGGACGGCTGTCCGTGCCGCGTGCGTGCGACGAGCGTGACCTGGACGGCTGTCCGTGTCGCGTGCGTGCGACGAGCATGACCTGGACGGCTGTCCGTGTCGCGTGCGTGCGACGAGCGTGACCTGGACGGCTGTCCGTGCCGCGTGCGTGCGACGAGCGTGACCTGGACGGCTGTCCGTGCGGCGGCTGCGTGCGTGCGACGAGCGTGACCTGGACGGCTGTCCGTGCGCGTGCGTGCGACGGAGCGACCTGGACGGCTGTCCGTGCCGCGTGC